CGGCCACTCCACCCAGCTTGGTGTCATCCGCAAACTTGCTCAGGGTGCATTCCGTGCCCTCGTCCAGGTCATTGATAAACAAGYTGAACAGCACTGGGCCCAGTACTGACCCCTGGGGGACACCACTGGCCACAGGCCTCCAGCTGGACTCGTTGAGCTGGTTGGACTRGTTGAGCTGGTAAGCATTTTGAGCGCTGCTTGTGCTTTCCAGAAGTCTTCTGTCCCCCTTGATAAGAGCATGTCCAATCTGGATGTTCCTCTCCTTGAAACAGTGAGTCTGAGCACCATGAGATGTACCTTGGGGCACACAGAGGAAATAGGATCGTGCAACAAGACAAGCTCCACTTCTCTGAAACTATCTCGTGCTGCACAAACCATCCAACTCCAGTTACTCTTTGCCCACCTGACTCCTTTTTCTGATTTTCTACACTTATTTGGTGCTCATAATAAGTTGTCTTTGTAGTTTGGTCTGCCTGGCCAGCRATGACTGTCTCCATACATGGTGCTCCTCTCTCTAGCAGCAATCTCTGGTAGCTTCTCACCCTGTTTTGGATCTCATGTGGCCATTGGGCAGGGTTAGCCATCTGCATGGGCACTGCTGTCTCTTTGCACTGCCCAGCTGATCCTTGCGCTGCCATTCCAGCAGTGCCACTGTAAGGTCAGATCTTCAGATGCTCTTTCAGGTTCATGAGGCTCTTCGCCTTCTTTTGACTTATCCATCCACATTCTCACGTGTGTCCCTCTTGGGTCACCTYTCCTCAACCTCTCACCTCTTGCACCTCTCTTCCTCTGCAGTGCCTCCATGGTTGCTGCCTGCCTTCCTGGTGCTACTGCTCATCCAGATGCAGTCTCCTGAAGTCTCCAGAAGGCAAATGAAATGCCAGTGCCGTTAGGAGCACTGGCATGTTCCCAAGGAACGCTGCCTTGGTGGACAGGGGTCTCGAGGGTGCAGGAGGGGGCAGAGCTTTCCTAGGGCCTGGGAAAGGAGCTGAAAGAAGGAGGAAAGGCCATATTGCCATCAGCTTTGCTGAGATTCTGGTTCTTCTCCAAACGTGGGGCTTCTGTCACCCACCGTCATGCTGCTGCTTTGCTCGCCCATCCCTGAGAGAGCAGAAGGAGCTGCCCAAGGGCCCCACACTGCCCTCTCTCCCTGATCCCCAGCCCGCGCGTGGACAGCGTTCCTGGTCTCAGAGCTGTGTGCTGGAAGCCGTCCCGTCCCCGGAAGAGAGGGGAATGTTGGCGCAAAAGCACGAGGTCATCCGAGCAAGCGAAACGCGACGGGGAGGAAGCCAGAGCTTGCACAATCCACAGTCGGAAACATCTGGGCGTGCGGGTGTGCGTGTGCGCACACACAGAGCAAGAGGTCCCTCCTGTGCAGGCGGCCTGGGGGACCCCAGCTCCGCTTTGGTGGTGGCCCATCAAAAGAGCAGATGTCCACAAGCCACGTGGGAGGCGTTTTGAAGCATAAGACAGGAGGCAAACGATTGTCTTTGATCTGAATGTAGCTGTTACCTCTGAAGCCTACCGATGGCAAGTAAAGTGCCGGTACTGTTCACAGCCCCAGACACCGGGAATTTCGGACACTGGGAATAGCACCCTGCTAGGTAAGTGTCACAGAGCAGCAACAACCCAGAGAGCTGCAGAGAGACCACTCGGTTTACAATGACTTTCAATCAGGCTCCGCTGGAGATTCGAAAGTAGGAACAGGCTGGCAAGTGGCAGCATGGGAAACATGAAGGGGCAGCCCTGTCTCACAGGCAGTAGAGTTTCATTTCCCCAAAATCCTTCCCAGAAGGAAAAAAAAAAAAAAGAGAGAAAGAAATGTTGATCTGAAGGTTAAGTCTGCTTTTCTTTTRTTTCTCTTCCTTTTAATTTAACGTTTTGATGTATGTGGGATTGCTGTGCCGAGGACGGGCAGCACCAACAGCTTGCCTTGGTGCTGCTTGATGGCCCGGCTTGAACATCTGGGGAGGTGCAAAACGGTGAAACGGGCTCCAGAGCAGCGGGGTCCGCACGCGTGCCGCTGCTGGGGAACCCCTACCCCTTGGAGCACACGCACTGAAATCATAGTGAAGTCCTCACGGCAGGTAGGGATCGTCTCTGCGCCCCACGGATGCGCACGACCGCCACGGGGAAGCCTCCCCCGGCAAACCCGCGGTGCTTTCCGGCGGGATCTGTGGGTGTACGGGGAGGAATGAATGAACGAATGAATGAAGGAGCCGAGCGGCAGTGGGAGCGCGCGCCCGGCACGCGCCCGCGAGCACCTCYGCTCGCCGAGGGGGCAGCCAGCGAGGAGGCCAAGGGGACGTCCCGGAGCCGCCTTTGGGGAGCGCGTGGAGCAGGGAAGCTGGGAAGTGGGTCAGCAGCGCGGCTGAGGGTGGCAGGGAGCTTTTCAGGGGAACCTGGTGGCCAGGAGCTAATTAAAACCTACTGCTCCCACTGCAATGAATCGGCTGCCTTGCAAAAGGCATTTGGGACCTGGTCCGTGTTTTGTGCTGGCTCCCGAGCAGAGGGATTTAGTTCTCCCTCTCTGCGTGGGGAAATGGTGATGGAAAGAAAGAAGGAAGAAAAGCACTGGTGGAAGCCACAGCAATTCTCTGCCCTGTTATCTTGTCAGTGGAGGCAAAAACAACAGTACAGCGATGGGGCGAGAGGGAGGAACACTGATAAGGGTCAGGAGCTGGGAATGTGGCTCTGTGTCCCCAGCACGGGGTGCCTGGGGACAGAAGGCTACTGAAGGGCACCTGTGCTCGCTCAGCGCGTGCACCGCTGGCCTGGCTCCTATTTTCAGAGCCCAAAGCTGCCGAATTTGGCCTGGAGGTGGGATAACAGGTTCACCTGCTCCTTGCTGGGGCTGGGGAGGGGTGGAGGAACTGCTGAGCCGTGGCCTTTGGAGATGGAGTGGATGGGGAATCGCCCAGAGGAAGGGCACTTGGGCCAGCCCAAGGAGCGCCATGCCCCTCCGTGACCCGCCAGCCCTGCAGAGCGAGCTGGGGGGCGGCATGAAGGGCAGGCACAGGAGGCTCAGAGGGAGGGAGGTCTTGTGTGGGGGGTCTTGATTGATGGAAGCACCACGTGCCTGGTCTGCACCTCCCTCCTCCTCGGGGCCTAGGGGATTAATGGAGCAGCCCCTCTAGCTCCTCGTCACCCACCGCTCCGGTGGCTTCCCCAGCGATCCGTGTCACTCTGYGACCTGCGGCTCCCTCCTGCAGGCTGCCCGGTGGCCAGGCGGGGGCGAGTGCGGTCGCTGGGGCTGGGGGCACGCAGGACAGGCAGGGGGGCAGGCAAGGGGGCAGGCCGGACACGCTGGGGGCAGGCAGGGCCGGGGGGCAGGCAGAGCGGGGCTGGGGGTGGGTCTGCAGCCAGCCCTGCCTTTCAAAGTCCCTCGCTCCGAGGAGGAAATCGGGAAATATTTGCAGCAACGGCAGCAGGAGGAGGAGGAGGAGGAGGAGGAGGAGGGCAGCAGGACCTGCCTCCGCGCCGGGGCACGGCGGCTCTGAGCCCCTGCTCGCCCCGCGGAGGGATGCGCAGGGAGGGCGCGGGCTGAGCGCATCCCCGCGCGGCGCGGTGAGTGCGAGCGCGCGCGCGCGTGTGCACGCCTGTGTGTGTGTGTGTGTGTGTGTGTGTGTGTGTGTGTGTGTGTGCGCGCTCCCTCCATCCATCCCTCCGTCCCTCCCTCCTCCTCCTCCTCCCTCCTCCTCCTCCTCCCTCCGCCGCGCCGCGCCGCAGCCGCGCACCGGGGCTCCGCCGCCCGCGCCCCGCCGCGGTGCCCCGCGGCTGCCGAGCCGGGCCTGGCGCCGCTGCCCCCGCAGCCGCCCCCCGCCAGGTAGGACCCGAACCCGCACCCGAGCCCGCACCCGAACCCGCACCCGCACCCGGACCCGGCGGCTTCGCGGGGGCTGCGCGGATGCCCGCGGGAGGCGGCGGCCGCGGTGTGCCCCCTCCTCACGCTGCTCCCCGCAGCCTTTTCCGAGGGAATTGGCGGCGCGAAGCCCGTCGCCTCCCGCCGCCCCGGTGGCGACACGGGGGCCGCCGCCCCTGCGAGCATCTCCCCGCGGCCGCTGCCCGCAGCCCGGGCCGGGCTCCTCGGCACCTGCGGCGGCGCCGGGGCCACCCGCTTTGTGCGGCCGCGGGGCCCACGCTGCGCACAGCACAAGGTCGGACCCGGCTGGAGGGTCCCCGGGGTCTGGCCTCCTCCCCTTGTCCTCCCGGCTGTTCCTGCCCACGAACCCCGGGATGTTGCTGAGGGCTCGTGCCGCCCGCCTGGCCTTGGCCCGGCATCAGCCCGGGCTCGTTTCGGGGAGCGCGGCTTCCCTTTGCCATCTCTACCCGTCCGACACGTTCCGCTGAAACAAGGCGGAGGGAGGGATGCGAGCAGATGGACGGAGGGACGCGGAAAGTGTGATTTCATATGCCTGGCTTGCTCGGGAGGCCTGGCTGCAGGAGGAGGCGATCGGCACTGCGGCGGCCGGCGAGCGGGCAGCGAGGCCGGGAGGCCGGCAGGATGCTGAGCCTTCCCGGGAGGCAGGTGGTCCCGAGGCCCGGCACACACCTGTGCTCCCTTCCCCTCTCCCGAGCTTCTTCGGCGGGCAAAAATACGGGCATCCACTTGATGCTGGCGTTCAGCTCCCTCTAGAGTCAGCGCCGGGAGAGTTGGGCCTCCAGAGAGCTTCGCCGCCAGCTCTGGCACTGGAGGAACTGAGGCTGGAGCACACGGAGCTCCCTCGGAGTCTCCRGTTTATTGACTGTGTTTTCTCCTCCCAAATTCCCTCTTTTCCAGCGGGAGACCCTGGGCAACCAAGCCCCTCGCTCCCAGGGAGAACTAGTATTTCTGCCTCTCTTTTCTGAGTGTTTTCSTTGCTGAGATCTCATGCCACGAGGGAGAGGAACGACTTGCCRTGTGGCCTCGGTACATTAAAAAAGCGAAACTGCAACCTCCTGACGGACGCTTCCCGGCGAGCTGCCCCCAAAAATCCAGCAGTCTGGCCAAAATTTCATATCGGGCAGTCTTTCTTTTTCCTTATTTATCTGTTTATTTTGGAAAGTTGCTGGGGAGATGGTGGGAGGGGCCGGACGCTGTGTTCAAGAGATAGGATCCTTGGAAGAAGAAGAAGAAGAAAAAAAAAAAAATCAGTGGCAGCCCAGTAATTATTCTAACTTTTTTAATGCCCTTTGCAGAAAACAGGGTGGCCCAATGTGTGTTTGACTTGGGTGGCTTTGGGACGGGCTGCGCCTCTGACTATATTTGGAAAGATTTTGCTTGGGCCTATTTTTTTTTTTCCTTTTTTTTTTTTTTTTCTTTTTGGTCTCCATGCCATCAGGATGCTGGTAGCCTGGGAATGGCTTTAGCAATGCGTTGGTGCTGAGGGTCGTGGGCACAGCAGCCCGTTTGGGGCCGGAGCTTGCGGGAACGCGGCGCTGGGGTCCTCCACAGCCTCCTGGATGAATCCACAGGCTGCCCGTTCCCCCGGAGGAGGCTCATTGCAGCCCTTTGGTGCCTGATGTGGAGGGAGGCTGGACCTTGGCCACTTTACCCATTGCCAGCCAGAGGCCAGGGAGTTTCCTGGGTTGCTTGCTTCCTGAGAGCCACTTTTGCTCCTGTGCCGCCCCAGGCTGGCATCCCAGGATATTGCTTCCCCCTGGGTGCCAAATCACCACGGGGATGCAGTGGCGAGGTGCGAGCGGCCTCGCTTGCCTCCCTACTCGGGGCACTGCAGCCGGGTGTTTTCCAGCCCTCTGTAATCCCCGCTCTGCTAATAACCTTAATTGCGAATTGCTCCTGCGGGAGGAAGCAAAGTGGGTGCTGTACAGGGCTTGGGCTRCAAAAAAAAGAGTCCGGTGCCAGGCTAGGGACTGTTACGCTCAGCACTAGGCTCTGCGGGGCCTGGCTTAGTGGGGACCTATGGGGGACCTTTTCTCCTTCCGAAGAGCCGTGCTTCTGCTCTCAGGCCTCTTAGGCTCAGCCTAAGCCTGCGGTGAGCTGGGTGGGGAGGTCAGGTGGCCCACGTTCAATATGATAAAGCTTGACTGACTTATTAATTTGATCTGTTTTTCCTTTCTTAATTTGTCTTATTTATTATTATTTATTTTATTATTATTGTATTTATTACATTTTATCATTTATTGTTTTTCCTTATTTGTTGCATGCTTTTGCGGGCATGACGCTACCAGGTCTTGAATTCTTTTAGGCCTGCCAAGCTGGTCCGAAGTCCAAAGCATGGTGGGACTCTCCAGCTCTGGAGGACCTGGAGCAGTGACCCGCAGTGTAATGCTTCCTCCAGGACCATCTGTTTCCCCTCCTTGCCAAGGGGATTTCACAATGCTGGATCACTCTGAATAACTCTACACGTGCAAGGAGTTCACTTGCCGTGGAGAGAGAATTCCCCCAGCAAGGGCAGGTGGATGATGCCCTGGACTGGCTGTTGAAACCCTTCAGAAGATGATGGTGTAGACCATGCAGCACAGTGATAGTTCATGCCCACAGCATTCATGCCTATACATATACATGTGTATATTTTATATATATATATATGTGTGTATATGATTTTTAAAGGCACTCTGGAGYTATATGTGCTAAAACAAGCTGATGCTCAGCCTGTATTTTGACAGCCCTTTTCAGCAAAYGTCTCCAAGACGTGGTCCGAAGCTTGGGACTGCAGCTGCTGGGTGACTAACTCGTGTTTCGGCTCAACTTCCCTGTCTGTTGAGCTCACATCTGCTTCCAATTAGCCGCCTGCCAAATGGCCTTCAACGAGGTGCTCTTCTTTAAGAACACGATGTTTTTAATTTTTCGCTTCCCATTCAGGAGCGGCAGCTCTGTGGGAAGCAGAAGGCACGTGGAGCCGGGCACCGGGTTTTCTAATGCACACAGCTGCCCCCCTTTTTCATTACCCTCGTTTGATTTGGTTTTGCAAGCTGTCTTAGAGGAGACTTGCTCCCCTCGTTCCCCTCGTCTGCATCGCCCAGCTCGCTTCGTGCTCGGTGTGCTGTTCTCATAATTAGAAAATTACAGCAGGGAGGGAGAGCCCAATGGGATTCCCGGGTAAGAAATGTCATTAACTTGCATCAAACCATCKCAATCGAGTTTCAGTAGTATTTTGCCACCGGGACCCTCGTATAAAAGCAAGTGGGGCAGAGGGCTTCTGGTTGTGTCACTTGTAGGCTCCAGCAAAGTAAAGGTGTTGTGTCCTCGTTTTTACTCTCTATGGAAGCATTAAATACTGTGTGGTTAAAATAACCTGGAATGGAGAGAATATAGAGCAAATATGGAGAAAACACGGGATTAATAACTAGGAATCAGGCTTTTATTGGCTAGCAAAATTGACCAGGAAAGAGCGTGCGTGTGCAGACTTCTGCACTAAGCATACATACTTGCTTACATAAATATATATACTTTAAGGCCTGGGAAAGGGTGAGGCAGGGCAAGGATGTGCCCACTGCAGGAAATGGAGCGCAAAAGCCCTCGGAGGGGGAGCCGGCAAAGCTGACCTAGTGGGAAGAGAGCGTAGGGACAGATTTCCTCTTGAAGCATGCCAAGAGAGCCGTGCCTGGATGCACACGGGGCTCTTTCCAGCATCGGGAAGGTGCAAAGCGATGCACCGTGGAAGGAACGGCTCCAAAATCGTTAATTAAAGCACGTCCTTCTGGTGTCCCTCGCGAGTGAGTAGCTGTGAGGAGCACGGCTTTCCCAGGGCTGCCCCTTGCCTTGTGCCGGCTTCGGATATGGAGAGGATGCTGGGGAGGACAGTGAGCATGGAAACGCTATGAAATACGTAGTTTTCAGTGATTAAAAGTATAAAAGTATTTGAAAAATKGGGAGGTGGGTGGCAGAGAAGAAAACTTCACTGTTTTCTCCTGCTCTTACCCTGAACTCTGAGCCAGTGCTTAGTAATTTGGAAATGGGAGACAACCCTGCCAGCAGCGAAGCAGAATGCTATGTTTTAATTTGATGAGAAATAGGAAAAATACAATTAAAGAATTAAGCTTTTAGCCAAGAGAGGGAAGAAGCTGGAGTTAAATGTCGGCGTAGCTGAAGGGGGTTGAGTGCCTGCAGGCAGCGTCTGGACCCGTCTCTCTTCAGGTGACCTCGCTATAGGTGGTGGATACGTGGAAATCTCCAGTAATYATAATACAAATTGGGCTTCTTAAATGGGAGTTCTTCAGCACAAGAGAAATCCACTGGACTTTGGGGAGAGGCAGAAAGCAACAGAGATCTTCCTTTCCRCGTAGTTTATTTCTGCTTGGCCTTCGCTGATGCCTCTTTCCTTTGGTCTCTGCAGGTTGAGGACGCTTGGGAGCTGTTTGGCAGAAGCGGCCATGTCGCGAGCGATTCACCTGCCCGCCTTCCCGGTGGGTTTCCACCTCCTGGGCATTGTGGTGGTCTTGCTCTGCCGCGCAGGCGATGTGTGCGCGGAGAGCCCGAGCCAAGAGCCGGCCAACGAGACCGAGGAGTGCACTGGCTCGTACATCTGCAAGAAAGGTGTCATTTTGCCAATATGGGAACCTCAAGACCCCTCGTTTGGTGACAAAATTGCTCGGGCAACGGTGTACTTTGTAGCGATGGTGTACATGTTCCTGGGAGTATCCATCATAGCTGACCGCTTCATGTCCTCCATTGAAGTCATTACATCCCAGGAACGGGAGATCACCATCAAGAAGCCCAACGGCGAGACCAGCAAGACCACAGTGAGGATCTGGAACGAGACTGTTTCCAACCTCACGCTGATGGCCTTGGGYTCGTCCGCCCCCGAGATCCTCCTGTCGGTCATCGAAGTATGCGGTCACGGCTTCACAGCGGGGGACTTGGGGCCGAGCACCATTGTGGGGAGTGCTGCGTTTAACATGTTTGTCATCATTGCCATCTGCGTTTATGTTGTTCCTGATGGAGAGATAAGGAAGATCAAGCACTTGCGAGTGTTTTTTGTTACAGCAGCCTGGAGCATCTTTGCCTACACTTGGCTTTATATTATTTTATCTGTGTCATCTCCGGGGATTGTGGAAGTTTGGGAAGGCTTGCTCACTTTCTTCTTCTTCCCTATCTGTGTGGTGTTTGCTTGGGTAGCTGACAGGAGGCTTTTATTTTACAAGTACGTCTACAAGAAATACCGGGCTGGCAAGCAGAGAGGCATGATCATCGAACACGAGGGTGACCGACCATCCTCTAAAGCTGATATTGAGATGGATGGAAAAGTGGCCAATTCTCATGTGGAGAACTTCTTGGACGGGACACTGGTGTTGGCGGTCGATGAGAAAGACCAGGACGATGAGGAAGCCAGGAGGGAAATGGCTCGAATCCTGAAGGAGCTGAAACAAAAGCACCCCGACAAGGAAATCGAGCAGCTTATTGAGCTAGCCAACTACCAGGTCCTGAGCCAGCAACAGAAGAGCAGGGCCTTTTATCGCATTCAGGCTACTCGGCTCATGACCGGAGCTGGCAACATCTTGAAAAGACATGCTGCAGACCAGGCACGCAAAGCCGTCAGCATGCACGAGGTCAACAGCGAGGTGGCAGAGAACGATCCCATTAGCAAGCTCTACTTTGAGCAGGGCACCTATCAGTGCCTGGAGAACTGTGGCACCGTCGCCTTGACCATCATTCGCCGGGGAGGTGACTTGACCAACACGGTGTACGTTGACTTCCGGACGGAGGATGGCACGGCCAATGCTGGCTCTGACTATGAGTTCACCGAAGGGACTGTCATCTTCAAGCCAGGGGAGACCCAGAAAGAAATACGGGTTGGCATAATTGACGATGACATTTTTGAGGAGGATGAGAATTTCCTGGTCCATCTCAGCAACGTCCGCGTGAGCACCGAGGCCTCGGATGAAAGCATTCTCGAGGCTGGTCGTGTCTCAACGCTTGCTTGCCTTGGCTCTCCATCTACTGCTACCGTCACCATCTTCGATGATGACCATGCTGGCATCTTCACCTTTGAGGAGCCAGTGACGCACGTCAGCGAGAGCGTGGGGACCATGGAAGTGAAAGTTCTGCGAACCTCTGGCGCACGAGGAAATGTTATTGTGCCCTACAAAACCATTGAAGGAACGGCCAAAGGTGGAGGAGAGGACTTTGAAGACACCTGTGGGGAGCTGGAGTTCCAGAATGATGAGATAGTGTAAGTGAAGAGGTGTTTTTGCTTGTTTGTTTGGTTTGGTTACTTAAGTCTCCCACCACCCCAAAGTTAAATGCACGTGGCTCCCAAGTTGTACTAGAGGGTTGCGGGTGCCAGCGTGTTGCAGCAAGCCCTTGTGTGCTTCAGGGGGCCTGAACTGCTGTGCTCCTGCTTTGCTAGAGAACAGCGGTGCTTGCTTGGGGCACCCTACCCCAGCAACAGGGAGGTGCGATTGGTCTGCAAGCCCAGCTTCCCCCATCGAACTCATTGCACCTGGTGGGGACCAGAACTGAGGTGGCTGCTACCTCCCTGCAGCAGCCCATCCTGCAAAAAGCCTAGGTCGAGTCTTGGAATTGGTTTACGTGCTTTCTGTTATCTATTGGGCGTCAACTCATCCTGCTCCACTGATGCTCCTTTGGAGGAGATCACTCTCCTCCTCTTCTGAGGAGGAGGCTACGGGTTGTTTTTGCCCAGCGCATGTCCTTGTCACGTAGGGAAGGGTTGTGGCTAACTGCCATCTTGTTTGGTGGTTTTCGAAGAGAAGAGAGCCTGGAAGCTGTCGGAGTTTACTCCCAAGTACTGCTGAGTGGMTGGTAGAAAAATTACTCGTGCTGCAGCCTCATTTATCATATTATATGGAGAAYGTGAATTAGCCCAGGAAATCATGGTGGAAAACATTTATCCTCAGGTGTTTYCCAAGGAGACATCCTTGCTTGGCTGTAGTTCTGGAGGGAGCATGGGGCAGGAGTCCTATTACTCCAACCAGAGGTCTCCTCAAAAYGAAGCCCATCTATAGGGCAGTCCTGATAGCAGCAGACTCTGGGGCACAGCACTGCTTTGTAGGACTTGAAGTGGCTTCAAGCGAGACCTAAAGGTTGGTTTGGATGTTGCATGTCCTGTGGTGGCCTCTGAGGAGCCAGGGCATGTCCCCAGACAGTGCAGAGAGTGGCCTGAGATCCTATGCGCTGCTCTCATCTGCTCCGTGTGTTCAGGGAGAATGAAGGAAATGGTGAAAAAAAGCTTTTTTTCTTTTCTTTTCTTTTTCTGCAGGAGAGATCTGTAGTTGTCAGGCAGGGTGCTAAAAGAGCAGACAGGTGTTGGGATTTTTGCTTCTCGAAAGTGGGCGAGAGCTTGACGGCTCAGGCAGTCTGGAGGCCACACCAAGGTGAGGAGCACGCCACGTGCTCTTGTTCCTGGGCTGAACTTGTGAGCATCATCTCCATTACAGTTATTTGAGCTTTTCCTTCTGGGGAGAAGCAGGGAGGTGCTCATGGAGGTGCCTGCGGAGAGGAAACGAACGGGGCCATAAGAACATCCCCAAAGGCTCGTCGCTTGTTAAGCAGGTCGCTTCAAGCAGTAGTGAAACTGGGCTGCTGGCGGCATGACGTTGGCTTTCGGCCTTGGTTCCCCTGTGATGGGTATGCACAGAGGGCTGGTGTGCAGTCTGCAGACGTGTTGGGTTGCCCCATGTCATCCTTCAGCCGTGGGTGCCTCCAAAGGGGTGGTGCTCTGCCTTTTCCCACCAAAAACTCCCCTGGCCTTTCCTTACCAGCTGTCTGCATGCACACAGCAGGCAAGAAGTGGAGAAAACAGCTTTCTTCAAAACTGGAGCATGTTTTTTGTTTTGTTATTTATTTTTTTTTCCTGTGCAGATGCCAGTGCGTTGCCATCACATCACTGTTGCCTTTAAGCCATCTACTACGGGTGGGAAACAGGGGCTGCTTTGGGGGTCCACAGGCTTGCAGGGATGTTGGCGTGGGAGGAGGTGGCCCCTGGTCCACTGCAAGGCCATGAATTGGCCAAGGGACATCTCCACTCAGGTAGAAGAGGACACCATGGTTCGCTAGAGCCATAGGTGGATGTTAGAGTTGGAGCCTGTTTGCTGTGTCATTGCTCCAGAGAAATCACAGCTGTGTAGTGTGGTGCAACCCCCCCCAGCAATATCTGATGCGCTGAAGTTCAATGAGTTTGAGTTTTCCCGTCCTCTGGACAAGAGATGGCTTTGCTGACCTTTCAAAAGGTCTTTGCCGCCTCTTCTGCTCCAGCACTCATGACTGCATGGCTTAGCTCGATGAGAACTGAGCGGGATGTGCTTTTCTAGCAGCAAAGGGAGGGAGGCCAGTGTGAGCTTCTCGTGTGGGAGCACTGGCTCACTGGAAAGCCCTGGTAAAATGAGAGGCAGTGGGAAGACCCCAGTCTTCTGGGGATCAGGGATCTGGAGACCTTGCTGCTCCCAGATGGTCGGGTTATATAACTTATTGTTTGCTAGTGGTGTCCAGGGAATCTTCCCCGTTCTACAATCTGTTGATGCCTCCTTTCCCGGAGCAAAGAGCTCTGGAAGAGCCTCTCCCAGGCCTGCAAACAGGAATGGTGTGCTGATACTACCCAAAGAGCAGCGCGGTGGGGGAAATGCCACTCTCTCTATCAAGAGGATGTTCTTCCTCCCCAGGCACAGCTCATGCCTCAGACAGGACAGGAACATGTTTCCAACCACTCCTTCTCCCCCACACACTCCTTTTCTTTCTTTTCCTTGGTTTTAAGCTGCAATACTTTTGCAGTTATCCCCTTTAATTCTGCCTGAATTAGGTGAGCTCCTGTTTTCATCAGCTTCAGAAACGTTACAAGCAAATACAGGAGCAGCCAGTTCTACTGACATTTCGCCTTGCTGTTCGTATTTCCAGCTCTCTTGTTTAACCATCTCAGTAAAGGAGCCTTCTGAYACTCTTAGGGAGAGAAATTTTAGGCCTGCTGAAATGAGCTTTTCACAGCTGCTTTGGGCATTTCTGTGCAAGCTGAGATCTGGAAGCCAAATGCCATCAGGGGCACGAATACCAGCAAAACTCTTCGGAGCATTTTGGGAAAATGTCACCTTGTCTCCAGAGACTGCACATGCTCCCTCCTGAGAGCCACACAAAAATGTCATGGTCAACCAGAGCACATTTGGGGGTGAGAGGAGCCAGGAACAAAACAGCGCCGATCTTTCCCGTTGTCCTTTCCTTTTCCAAAAGGYGTTGGAGGAGGGGTTTCTAAAGCCACGGCACCAGCGAAGAGCTGACTAGAAGCTTCTTGGCTCAATGTTACATCTGCAATGTGCAGCTTCAAAGAGAGAAAAGTGCCCATCGACTCTGCTGCTGCTGCAGCAGGGTGGTAGGGAGCAGGTATCAGAGGCAGCAGGGATGCTGGTGTGAGCGGAACCTGTGTAGATGGCTTTAGTAGTAGAGAAAAGCCTTCTGGACTTGAGGGTGGAAGCTCCTTGTGAATGGCATCTCCTCTGCAGCACAAGGGGATGGAGATGTCCATGTCCATGTCTCGCCGTGTCTTGCAGTTCCAGCTGATCCTCCTCTTGGCAGGGCGATGCCAGTGGGTGCCCTCCGGAGCAGGGCTGCTTTCTGCCGTTCTGGTGGCACTTGGAAGTCTGGCTTGGACAGGGCTGTCCATGCATGGGACCTGGGAATTCCGTCTCGTTGCATCCCTGGGGCAGCAGGGTTAGAATGAAGCACGCAGCATCGGTGGGTGGTAGGGGAGCAGGGCGGAGGATGGTGAGGACAAGAGTGGTGTGTTCCAGTTGAAGGACCCGTGTGGCTTTTATCCTCRGAAAACTAATGTTTCCTTATTTGTAATGAGCTGTTGTTGGCAATTTCCTGCTTCCAGCTGCATCTCTGTGGTTGAGTAAGGGAGCTTGGAGCTTAAATATGTAATARTGCTCCAAAAGCCATTGAGAGGCAGTTATTAGCTGCATCAGGGTCTGTGTACACATCCAGTGCATGCCTTTAYGAAAAGGCTGCCTTTAGATGCACTGTAGTAATTCATATAGAGCAAGATCTCAGCTTGTTTTATGGCATCCAAGCCGCAGCTCTGGTGATGTTTGGCGGCATGGAAAGGGCTGGTCCTGGCACACAGTGCAGCTGCCTAGGTCCTTGCTGAAGGAAAAAGGGTGGCAGAGGTAGGAGAAGTCCTCATCCTGCCTTTGCGGACCCTGGGCACATGCTTGAGTGATGACGAGCTCTGAGCTATCAGGCTCTGGCATTGATAGGAGTTAAGGTCAGTTCTCCTTTGGCCATAAACCCCGCTGAGCTTGAGGATGTCTTGGGAGATATCAAACCCACTACTAATAACGTTTGTAGCCCTGACTTTGTCCTGGCTTCCAAGAATGGCAGTGCTAGATCCTGGGTGACGACAAACAATAACGGCATTCGCAGCTTTAAAAATATCTCGGTGTAAGAGAGAAAATATGCCCACCGCTGTGCAAGCGCAAGGGTGACCAACGTCGATCTCCTCCATCCAGGCCCTATATGGTGCCATTTCCATAGCGGCTGGACTCCTTCCTACACAGTCAAGGCAACAACAAAACAGGCCTGGCAAGGAGAAGCAAAGTGTTGATGAAATGTGAGGGCCCAGAGGGCATCCCTGTGTAGCAGGCGCTGGATGGGGAGAGATGGAGTTGATAGCACACGTTGGCCTGGAGGGAAGGGAGCTCTGCGGGGGACTGCTCCCTGATGGCCAAAACCAGAGGTGAGATGGGCTGAGAGGAGGCCAGGGCTTCCGCCACCCAACCACACCACCMCCACCAAAAAAAAAAGGCAAAAAAAGTGAATTAAAAAGATCCGTTTGCTCTGAGGAGCTCTTTTTCAAGCTCTGTTGAGTAATGGCACTTGCTCCGTGAGAGTAAAATAATTACAGGTTGAGCCCTTGCAAACAATTTGGAGTAGAAATAAATCGATTCATTAAAGTGCTTATCAGTGCCTCAAACTTTGCAGGCAGCCTCTCAGACTGAGGGTGCTAATAGCTCCTCTGCCTGCTGGATCCGTGCAGCAAGAGCATCCCCTCGCTCGTTCGTGATACACGATGTCTATTGCTGTGCTTATAGTTAAGGACACAGAGCTGTGYGCCACGGACACCCCTGCCCTCCTCTCCCTTTGCAAAGCAGCCCGGGTATCGTACAGCTCTTGTTTGAAAATGCAGCATCAAGTGGGAAATCCTCCTGTGCAGAGTCTGGAAGAACG